TGATCCTCCAAGCAGGGTTTAGGGTGGGGCCCTCTGCCCCTCATACCCTCCACTGCTTTTTCCAGCCCTCGATGTCAATATCTACTGCAGGGTCCAGGCCTTGCATGAGTCACACAGCTAAACTTGAAGCCGCCCCGGTTAGTGCCAATTGATGCACACTTCCGACAAGTTCGTTGCATCACCGGTTCCAGAAGGTAGATTAGCCCAAAACCCCAAAGCTCGTGCCGACCTTGGTATTCTTCGACCCAGGCGGACGTGAACCGCCACGATCGCCATCTGTATACACCCTTGGCGAGAGCCTCCTCGTGCCTCAGCAGACGATTCAAGCCTTTCTTCGTCGTGGCTTGAGAATCCGTACACTTGACATTGCCGGCCCTGCGCATGAAGTTCTGCAACTGGAATCACATCCCCACTGCAAAATCTGTGCATCCATCCTGAACTTTCCCCAGTGCCAGCATTAGCAGGCCCCAAGAAGCCTCTCCAAAAACGACCCAGGAGCGGACACGTAGAAGTCGTTGACCTGTTGCTGCAGACAAAGGTTGACAAGAGCCTTGGTTCACCCAAAATACAGACTTGGATGTGTGTGTGTGTGTGTGTGNNTGTGTCTGTCTGTGTGTGTGTGTCTGTGTTTGTGTGTGTGTGTGTGTCTGTGTTTGTGTGTGTGTTTGTGTGTGTGTGTGTGTGTTTGTATGTGTGTGTGTGTGTGTTTGTATGTGTGTGTGTGTTTGTATGTGTGTGTGTGTGTTTGTATGTGTGTGTGTGTGTTTGTCTGTGTGTGTGTGTGTTTGTATGTGTGTGTGTTTGTGTGTGTGTGTGTGTGTTTGTGTGTGTGTGTGTGTGTGTGTTTGTATGTGTGTGTGTGTGTGTGTGAGTCTGTGTGTGTGTGTGTGAGTCTCTGTGTGTGTATATACGTATTATACATATACATCTTTCTCTGCAGTTTGTACATACGATCATCGCGGTGGTGGTTATTGTGGCAATGATAGCTTGCACCGATACTTCCTGTAGAATCGCATCGCAAGGAGGAATAGACCGATCTACATAAGCAGCAACAACAACGCATGCCCCTAAACCCTGAACCCTAAACCCCAGCAGTACCTTGTCTCAGTCCATGAGGCTTTCCACAGCATTTCGGATTCAGGGCATGTGTCGTTTTGAGGATTGCTTAGGACCCAGAGCCCGATACCCCTTAACTAAGGAAATATACCTTAAATCATAATATTAGGGCCCCTATAATTTAAGGTCTATTCCTTATTTAAGGGGTATTGGGCGCTCTGGGAAAACCTCGCACCCGGGCTCAACCCTCGCCGAAGTTCAGGAACCAGGCCGGCCGCACCGGCTGGACCCCCTTATCTTTGGCCTCGGCGGATGGCCATGCCGAAGTTGTCCGTCAGCTGCGGCCTGCTTGCAAGATCATAGGACTTAGTAAGTACGACTATCAGTTCCCTAATTGGGGTTATAGCTACTTATTTAAAACTCTAGTTACTAAGTCCCATGATAATTCAAGTAGGCTTCGTTTCAGCAGTGCTTCAGGCCATGCTTCATTTACGGTGATTTCTAGGGCCGCAAAGCTGTCGTGGCAGGGGTATTGGATTACATCATATTATGATATACCATACTGTAATCATATACCCTAAACCCTAAAACCGAAGCCATACTGTAATATACTCAAAACCCTAAACTCCTTAAACCCTAAACCATACTATAATATACCCTAGACCCTGAACCATACTACACTAGATCATGAGGTTAAAGGCTGGAGTGGACACAAACGCCACCCTAAACACTAAACCCTAAAAAACCATACTATAACTTACCCTAAACCCTAAACTCCCTAGACCCTAAACCATACTAGAATAGATCCTGAGGTTAAAGGCTGGAGTGGACACAAATGCCGGGAACCGGACCGGGCGAACGCCCTTGGCCTGGGCCTGCAGCCACGGCCACGCAGAGGTTGTCCGCTTCTCGGCTCAGTTCAGCTAAGGGGTTTAGGGTTTAGGGGTTTAGGGGGTTTAGGGGTTTAGGGGTTTAGGGTTTAGGGTTTAGGGGTTTAGGGTTTAGGGTTTAGGGGTTTAGGGGTTTAGGGTTTAGGATTCATCTAATGTAGGGGCATTAATAATTACAATAGGACTTTGGGGTAGACTATACTACAGTTATGATTAGGGCCCTGAACATGAAGGTTTAGGGTTTAGGGGTTTAGGGGTTTAGGGCTTTAGGATTTGGGGTTTCTCAGACTTTTTCAGGTTTGTACCCAGACCCTCCATCTACCCTCTATTCGACCCTAAAGACCCTTCATTTGGGACCCCCTACACCCCTAGTTGAGGGTCTACTTGGAGGGTCCTTTTGTCAGCTTCCATTACTTCAGCCGGCAGGCTTTGGAATTGAAGCAATGGGGTTTTGGGGCCAATGTTACTATGATTATAATAAGGAGCCACCGACCTACTGTATTAGGTAACTATTAAGGCCCCTACATCCCTAAACCCTAAAGCCTAAACCCTTTCAAACCCTAATACCCAAAACCCTAAACCCAAATAGTAGGTAATTCTTAAGGCACCTTTTTCTATGCTTTGGGTTGGACCGGCTGACCCCTAACCCCTAAACCCTAGACCCTAAACCCTAGACCCTAAACCCTAAACCCTAAACCCTAAACCCCAAACCCCAAACCCCTAAAACCCCCCTAAAACCCCTAAAACCCCTAAAACGGTTGGACCGGCCCTGCCAGGATTGCTGCTGGAGTCCAGAGTCGATCCAAACCGGCCGAACCTGTCGGGATGGACCCCGGTGGCTTTCGCTTCGACCCGTGGCCACGTGGAGGATCATGGGGTTTAGGGTTTAGGGTTTAGGGTCTAGGGTTTAGGGTTTAGGGTTTAGGGTCTAGGGTTTAGGGTTTAGGGTTTAGGGTTAGGGTTTTGGGTTTACTTGGAGGATCATGGGGCTTAGTAACTGGGGTTATAGGGCTTAAGGTTTAGGGGTTTTAGGGTTGCTTAAAGGGTCATGGGACTTAGTAGCTAGGGTTATAAATAAGGTAACTATACTTATAACCCCAAGTAGGGTACTTGTAACCTTTCTTACTAAGTCCCATGATCCTCCAAGTGGCCGTGTGGAGGTGGTTCGATTGCTCTTGGAGGCCAGGGTCCACGCAGACACGGAAGATATCTCCGGAAGGACGCTGCGGGATGGGACATAACATAAACTATCCTCAAACTTTATTGGGGTGGCACTTGTCTCTTTTGCGTTTTTTATCTGCATGGTGTTTCGTTCACTGTCTCTTCGTCACTCTCTCTCTCTTTCTCTCCTTCGCGCTGCTTGCCGTTATCCTCAACTCCCTTCTCGGTTTGTCCCAGAAGAGAAAAGAGACTTTAGAGCTGTCTGTGCTACTTGGAGGATCATGGAACTTAGTAACTAGGGTTATAAAGCCCCAATTAGGGTACTTATAACCTTACTTACTAAGTCCCATGATCCTCCGAGTAGGCCCTAAAACCCTAAACCAAACCCTAAACCCTAAAACCCTGAAACCCTAGACCCTAAACCTTACTACTAAGTCCCATGATCCTCCAGTGCTAGTTTTCTGGAAGCTGAGATTCATCGGAAGCTTGGCGGGGCAGGTGCGCAAAGGCAGCAGCAGACCTTAGTGTAATGTAGGGGCTTTAAGAAGTAGAACAGGGGTTATTTGGGGTTCCTTTAAAAGGTTCCTTATAAGGGGATCTATAAGGGCTACTATAAGGGTTCAGAGGCCTTAATATTTAGAATACGGGTTTTGGGGCCCATTATACTAAACATCGGAAGGACACCACTGCTTTGGGCCTCTACCCATGGGCATGCAGAAGTCGTTTGCCTTCTGCTTGAAGCCAGGGCAGACAAGGACAAGGCAGAAAGGGCCGATCTGAAATCTCTGGGCCTTGGGGGATATTATACTATAATCATAATGAGGAACCCCCCCCCAAAAAAAAATATATAGGTCACTATTTAGGCCCCTATATTACCTCTGTCAGACCTAGAAAGTGCAGGTCCGTTCGATATGAGCATACTTGGAGGATCATGGGACTTAGTAACTAGGGTTATAAATATGGTAACTATAGATATATCTCCAATTAGGGTACCTATAACCTTACT